GGGAGAGAGAGAGACAGAGAGAGAGAGAGACAGAGACAGAGAGAAAGAGAATCCCAGGCAGGCTACACACAGTGCAGATCCCAACAAAGGGCTCAATCCCAACGCCCCTGATATCATGACCTGAGCTGAAATCAAGGGTCAGACGCTCAACCAACTGAGCCACCCAGGCGCCCCCTCTAGATCTTTCCTTTTAACCTCTACACAGTATTTTGTTGTATAATATTCCACAATATTCCATTCTTCTGTTCATGGTCATTCCTGTTGTCTCCAAATTTTGTACTGTGCTACTATGAACATTCTGGGACACATCTCGAGCACGCGTGTGTTTCTCTGGGGCAGATATTTAGGAACGGAACTGCTAAGTTATACAGTACTCATTTCAACTTTGCTTACTATTGGAAAATTGTTACCGAAGTGTTGCACCAGTTTATGCTCCCGGTAGCACCGTGTAAGAATTCTTGCTTCACATCCCACCCCCTCCCCCGCCCCAGCACTTGGTGTTTTCAGAATCCAGGTAGATTTCTAAGGTACTAATTCCGGTATGTAAGATGGCTGTTTTGCACTGAATTCAGGTATTTTAAAACTAGTTGTAAATGTGCAGGGAGGTATAGCCCTATATCTTCCCCAGCTGCAGTAAAGAGATCATTTTAGCTGCTGAAGATAGATTCCAAAATGTCCGCCATGGTGGAAAAGTTACGGTTCCGTTAGTCACTAACGTTTTATTTGTTCTCCTTTGATGTCTCATAGATTGTCATGGAAAAGAGCACATTCACTATCAAACTGCGAGTAAAAGTTAACTGAAGTAGGGGGCACCTGGGTGGCTCAGTGGGTTGAGGTCGAGCGCCCCCGACTTCCGCTCAGGTCATGATCTCACGGTCCGTGAGTTGGAGCCCCACATCGGGCTCACTGCTGTCAGCACAGAGCCCACTTCAGATCCTCTGTCCCACCCCCGCTTGTGCTCTCCCAAAATATAAATATTAAAAAAAAAAAAAAGTTAATTGAAGTAATCCTAGGCACATCAAGCTCTTTTCATGCTTCAAATCTTTGACTTTCTCTTCTGCTCCATTATGATATTTTAATTGTTCTCCAGCCTGGTTGCATTTCTTTGCTTATTTTGATAGTAATCAAGTTAGTGAGTCTCTCTCACAAATATGCAGATGAAATGTATCTTCGAAATGATTTATATTTGATTTTGGTTGGGTTTATGCAAAGTTTCATTTAGCCGAAGGAATACATCTTCATGAAGTTCAACTTCACTGGCTGTTCTCAATACACGTTAATGGTCCTATCTGGAGGTCATATACTGAAACCATCTCCCCAGAATTTAGTGCGCTAATTTGTACGTGTGAAAATGAGGTGATCAACAAACATCGGATAGGCGCTCGCTAAGTGCAAAGCAAAACTGAAGACCTAAATATATCATGCGTGAGCTTTAATATATATAATACATTTTGAACTAAAAAGGAAAGCCTATTGTCACTTCTACTGATTTTCTTTTCAACAGTACAAAGGGTTTAAGTTTTCTCTTTAACACTGGTTCCTTTTTTTTTAATGTTTATTATTTATTTTTGAGAGAGAGACAGACAGACAGAGTGTGAGTCGGGGAGGAGCAGAGAGAGAGGGAGACACAGAATCCAAAGCAGGCTCCAGGCTCCGAGCTGTCAACACAGAGC